TAGTTGGCTTCCGCTGAGTTTAAAAGCTTCCTTGCTGTCAAGGCGAAAGTTATATAGCTCCTTGCTTAGCAATGATACTACCATCTGCAGGGAATCTCGCTCCTCTTTTGTTTTATCTAGATTTCCCTTCATTAGCTGAAGTTGCTCTCGCAGAGCGCGATTTTCTTCCTGTATCCGTTGTTGATTTTGACATGATTTACAGGTTGACTGTATTTCTCTACTGTCCGTTAATCGAGATCTATACGAGTCTTTGAGTTTGTTTACCTCATTTTCCAAGCGGTCGTATAGATCTTTAAGGGATTTGTAGCCATTGCATGTGTGACTCTGTTGTTCTGGGCTGCTGCTAGTGTCGTCCAGGTTTATAACAGCCGAAGGCCGAGGTGACGGTTGGTTGACATTCTGGCGGGGAATTTGAATTTCACCAGATCCTGACAAAATCGACTCCTTGAGTCTTTTAACCAGCTCAGTTTTCCTGCCAGATTTAGAGAGCTTTCTTTTTTCAAGTTCGTCCCTTAGATCTTTCACCTTCAGGGAGTTGATGGACCGTCCATTTAATGCATTCTTGATAGCAGCCATTTCGCTCATTTCAAAGGACGAGGAAAGCGAACCGTATTCGGGTACAGAAGTAGACATATTCTTGTTATTAATCTGATCAGCGACTACCAGAGTTGAGTCAGTATGTACTTTACTCAAATCAGGCAAGGAACTGGTCCTAACAAGCCGCGGCCTGGAGATAAAGCGATCAGCCTTCGGAGCTAGGAAAACGTGTCCATCCGCCATATTATGCAAATTCGATGTTCTTGTTATTAGCTTATATTAAGAACAAAAGATTCCCAAATTTACCAAGAATTACAGTTCCTTCTCCCATACATTCTTATTCATTAATCAAGGCACAGACTGAGTACACAGTGGGCCACCCTTGGCAATATTCCATGAAGCTTACTGTGGAACTTTTCATAACGCTTTCGCCTTTCATTTTATCCCTTAACATACCGGTTCGCCGAGTTCACGACCCATGGACTGAAGCCTTTTCATCCGGGTTCTCATGATGTCTCAGTCTGTTAGTAGTAAGTATATACTAAAACAGTGGATAGCGTTGAAGGCGCGCTCTGATTGGCTAATCAAACTCCGAATATCCTTTGCTATTTACCTCCGAGCGACTCGGAAAAAAAATGGCGTCCCTGTTTGCATCGTGACAAGCGTAGAAATCACTCAAATTAACGACGGTGGTGTATATTATCTCACTGTTTAAGTATATACTAAAACAACTATTCGCCTCAGTGTCGGTGGTTAGCGGTGGATATTTACCTCGCCGCTTCGCGGATATTTACCTCGCCGCTTCGCGGCTCGGTAAAAATCCACCACTAACCACCTCCACTTCGATGAATAGTTGTTAATTATAGAGGCTGAATGAACTTGCATTGCAATCAGTATAGAAGTGAATCGAATAACAATCTTTTGTTTCCTATGCCAAAAACCAAAAAGTCTTTGAAGTTCGGGTGTCCTTTCAGAAGTCTTGATGATCACGGGTGCGAATTGACCTGTGGCTCGGGTAAGAACGTCGACACAAACTGGGTAGGAATAGTCTGAGTACGAAACTTCCGTGGGTATGAAACGACTGAATACAACATTGGTCTTGCCATCTTATTGTAAAATTTAGCCCCACGACTAATATTAGCAAAACTCCACAGTGGTTAAGGTTTGTTGTCGAAGTTTTATCCCCGCAGGATTTTCAAGTCTTTTCAACCAAGATAGAAAGGCAGACGTTGACTAAAAAAAAGATCAATTATTGTTTGTTCCACCTCAGATATAAATGTGAGACTAGAAACTATTGGCCGGGGATGGGGAGTAAGGAAGGGGGTGTTAGCATGTACCCGAGGTACTGAGATGGAGCTCCCTTTCGCACGTAACACTCTCCAGGTTTCGCTCAATACATTTTGACAAGAAAGTGTGGAGCTTGCCAGTCACAAAAAACTATAAAGAACTGCGAAAGGAAAATCGGTCTTGACTTTTCTTTCCTGAAAGGTGGAAATTTTCAATCTGATTCACTATCTTTTAATAAGTTCAAAATGCCCGCTCAACTTTCACCAAAAACAACCCAGGTGGGGCCATTCTTTGGCCTTGAAACGTCATCTGTGAGAAGAGCCCAGCAAGGATATGTATATCTGGAGTGGCTTACTAGTACTACAACACTGAAAAATGACATAACTGAGATATGCTTCTTTTATTGCAGATATTATGTAGAGTGTTATACTTTATTTAAAAAAAAAAGCTTAATGTGTTCCTATTATGTACAGAAAGAAACGCTCATCCTTGCTCTGACAGAATTTCCATTATCAAATAAGCGGTCTATTAAATCATAACAAAGGTTTCCCCATCAGCCACAACCCCTCTGAACAGCGCTTTCTGTTTCTTGTACAAGTCGAAAACATTGAGAAAATAATTAATTTGATTTAAGTAACACTATATTGAGACGGTTCTCTCCGTTTATAAAAAAGCTCTTTAACAATAACAGCAAAACGGTTATGGTAAATAAGTCAATAACAATGCACTTGATTGTTTTCCGATACCAACGACACAAAATTTAGAAAATTTTTACGACTCATGTAAATACTTCACTACAAGATATGTCACCGAATCAATGATCTTGTCGATAAATGACACTTAATTGAAAGGGAAATACATTAGTTGCAGTTTATCCTCAGTCCATGACTAAATCAATATTAAACTACTAAATATCTTGACAAGTCTTTAACACCAACAAGGAATACTTCATTAGGTTCATTGCTGACAAATCTTCGTCTTGTTTCACATATAACAGGAGTAAATAGTTGACTAAAACAGAAATCTAAATAAACGAGCTGTTTTCTAATTTCTTATTCCTTTTTTTAATCCTGCCTTAATCAGCTGGATCAATATTGAGTTGTTTATCAATTGCAACTTAGTACTAAGAAACTGACTTGACAGTTTGTTATTAAGGACACAGCTTTGGTTTATTCTAACGCAATAAGACCCTTGAATCATCACCGTTATCATCAATACACATTTTCTAATACTTGATGTACCACAAAGTGACTGAAATGCACCCTAGCGGCCAGGTTCCTAAGCAGTATTTAAAATAGCGGTGTCTGACGACGGTCGCTGGTCCATTTTCCCAATCTCTTTGCCGCGGCGTTCGTTGTAGTTCGTGCTGTTGGCTCGGCATCTTCATCTCCGAGATCTTCAACCTTGGAGTATTTGGTCGTGTCATAAGATCCCATATCGAGCAGGTGCAGATATGTCTTAAGGGGAAAGCAATAAAAGAGGACTATTCATGAGCGTCACAGTGTTCTCTAACAACAAGTCAAGAAGAGAATGAAAATGACCACTCCAAAGTACAAAAAGCATACTCGATTTAAAGACACAGAAGGTTGGGCAGAGAAGGTAAGTAGAGGGAACGGCGGGAGGAATGGAAATTGATGGGTTCGTTGGCGCGAGAAATCTTAGCGTGCTTGATGTTTGAGAGTGTTTATCTGTCAAAACTTAAATAACACTGATAAACTAAGACAAATAGGAAGAAAAGTAACTACTAGCGGGAAGCCTTCGAAATGAAAGCTAAAATCACCAAAATTCCCGCACGCTGCCCCAATAGAAGTTGAATGAAACCAATACAATCCCAAATAACTTCAATTAATCTGTTGAAATCAGTGGTCCAGGAAGGGTTAAATAATCATTGAGCCCTACGTAAAGGACGTGTTCAAATCATGTTACGAACCTCTTCACGAAGGTAGGTATCCATTCTTTTGCGAAGGTTTTCAAAAGGAGGACGAAAGTCGGGGTTAAAATTCCAGCATCTTTTCATTACAGCATACCTGGAATTAAGGAATGAAGGTCAATACTTGACTGTGTTTTAATAACTAAGTGATAGCCATCAACTCAAAAAATCTTAAAGCCTTTGCCATAGAATAGTTAATTGTTAAGAAATGTCTGGTTATAACAGCGGAAAATTGATACTTTCACAAATGTTCAAAGTGAAAAGAAAACTCTTAATATAGCAAGCTGATGGCCACTGCTAACTTTTTTCATTTAACAGAGTTAGTAAAGAGAGGAGACATCAGATTAAACACGAGACAACGTTTTTCCGGGAAGGAGGGGCGGGGGGAGGAATTGGGGGATTTAAAATGAACCACGGGTGTTATATAACTTGATAAAGGAAGACTCACAGTTTATCATCAACATGATCGGGCTTTGGAAGTTTGTAGCCACGTGTGACCTGTGCAACTACTTTGCCTTCTGACCATCCGTCATATGGAGTTCCTCCTGTAAAGGAATAAAAAATGTCCCCTGATGCTCCTAAATATTTCGTTTAAAAATATTGAGATTTAAAGCTGAGAGAGATCCATTTCTAGTGCTTGATCGTAACATTCGAAACATGGTGTTTCCTAACCTGATACAATAGATGACCCCTTTTCCATCAACAAATTTGTAAGAAATGGGAGTTTTTGTCATTTCAAGTTGCACACAAAATGCTACTCACCGTGTGTGATACTCAGAGCGAGGAATGTCCCGAAACAACAGCGAATCAAGCTTTGACAATCTGAGCATGAGTCACCACTGGAGTAAACTTTGGCAAGACAAACCTATTTGTTATAGTTCATCAAACTAACGTCGGCCAGTTGAATCTTAGAGGCGTTGACACTGATCAACGAGTTCCACGAACGATACTTACATCATTTCCAGACATAGACGGCCCGGAAGTAAAAATATTTGTCATTGAACAAAGTTTGACTTACCCAGGGTAACTATCTCATACAGAACGATTCCGTAAGACCACCTGAAAAATATTAAAAGAAATATTGCCATGTGAGTGTTGGATATTAGCTTGTAAAGATAAAAACCAAAGAGATAAGCTGCTCAATAGAAGACTATACATCACACATATGCATACACGTCACTCAAGGCGGAAAGTCCAGCAAGTTCTCCCAACAAAATCTCTGGTGCAGTCCATTTGATTGGCAAACAGCCCTGCAACGACAAGTTTGTTTCAAAGGTCAGTGCTATTATGCCGGTTTGTTAGAAAGGACACGGCGGCATGCAAACAGTTGTAAACACGACGAATCGGTTTGGCATTACAGGTAGGTGGTGCACTCTTTCCGAGACTTTCTAGTGTCAAAATTTAGCAGTTGACATAAATTTAAAACAGTTAAGTCGATAAACTTAGTTGTATTCTGTAGCAAAGCAAAAGGTAGAACTACCTTGGCAGTTAAGGCGAGTTTTAAGCAGAGTTAGTGCTAACCTTAGGAATTTGTTTGCAAGTGGTACTGTAGAAATGGTAAGACAAAGAAGATCTTCTACCTTTTTGGCATTTCCATGACCATATTTGAAGCTTTGATACGCCATGCCAAAGTCGGTCACTTTGCACACATAGTTGTTATCAAGGAGGACGTTTCGAGCTGCCAGGTCACGATGGATTATCTAACAAAAGAAAAAGATCCAAATGTAAACTGGTTGACAAATGCATGCCTTTGTGAGACTTACCATAACCAGAGGGAAGGTTATGCAGATGTTTGCATGGTTTTACAGTAAATTTCAACCGACAGAAAAAAAATTACAATCATACAAACTCAACTACTTTATTACACAACCTGTAAATATTCTGGGAGCGACTCAAACAGACAATACAGTAATTATCCTCAATAACTTACTTAAGCCCTCTACAAACTGCAGTGTATATCAGCTCACCACTAACTCAGTTTTACAATTTTCTCCCAAATTCCTTGAGATGAACAGTCTTCCACAGCAGCTCTCTCTATCTTGATGTAGCGTTCAGACAGGCGGTCTTTTCCGACGGCCGCAACTCATACTACACGACTAAGTCCTTATATACATTAAAAAAGTATTCCGGAACATTCCAGAAGCTTACAATACAAATATTTCGGTGGTATTACATCATAACAACGAAGCCTAACGGAAAGTTTTAGAAGGCTCAACAGAAAGTTCATGCTTGCGAGTCAGCATGACTATAGTCTCCCTCGCAGCCGGTTTTTTGGGAGCGTTGCGTGACATCCGAAAAAAACGGCAGCGAGGGAGACTAGCATGACTAGGAATTCTAAAAAATTTCTCGAAACTTATTCATAACAATGAGTTGTAAAAACTATTGTTCCTTGGGTTTTCATTACAAACCAAACAAATACCAAAATCACTGTGGCATCAGATGACCCACTGACTGTACCAAGATAACCCTTGGCCTGAACAAATTCAGAATATCAAACCTGCTTCCAAAAATGTCATTTAATTCAGATTTAGCGATATTCAAGACAACCAAAAGGTATAAAAATCCCTTACTATTTATCTGAAGCAAAATTGAATGTAGAAGCATTTTATTTACTTACTCCCCTTGATCCAAGGAATACCATACCAGCGGCGATTTGTTTGGCAAATAGCACAAGGTCATAGTTGTTCAAATCTTGGGCTCTTCCTTCTCCAAGATAATACCGATCTTTAACTCCTCGGCACTTTCTCATGTAACCAAGCAGGTCACCACATGGCAAGTATTCCATAATGAGGATTGGATGAACTTAAAAATAACGCACAAAAGGAAAAATAAAAAAATAAAAAATAATAAAAAAACCCAAAACAAACTAAAGTAACAATCTCATACTCAGTCAAAATGTAACTGCATATACCAACAATAATGCCTTAAACTGAGCATGTACCTTGTCTAGTGACGCAGCCAATGAACTTCACTATGTTGGGCTGATTGCTTTCACCGATAATTTTTCCCAGCTCGATCTCTCTCATCAAACATTTCCTTCCTTCCTCCCCTGCAGTGGCTACAATAAAAACGATATACTTTACAGCCAGGAAAAAGACTTCTTGACGAATTTTATCGCAGAAAAACTTTGGTTAAGGAATTAGACCTCACATTTCAGGAGGTCTCTGAAGCTCAGTTTGTAGTGCTCACACCTGCGAAAATGGAACTGGTTAGCGATCGAATCCTATCTTACGATTCAAGCACAAGCTTGCCATCTTCAAATGCTTTATTTTTCAAACTTTCATTTTCGATGTTACTATAAATGACTTTGCATGAATCTGTCAGAACACCTTAGTTGACCCGAGATAAACAACCACTAGAAGTGCCAAACAGGCCACCCTTGGCTGTAAAGTACCTATCTACGTGATTTGAGGAGAGATGGTTGACTGGATCTTACGTGTGAAGCATTTAGCAGCAACTGTGCGATTTCCAGGCCTCCCATTTGGAGAACTTAGAAGAGCCCTCCACACTGCTCCAAATGCCCCACGCCCAATGACCTCTTGAAGAAGGACACGGTTTACTTCAACCTCCCATTCATCCACTTCTATATTCAACAGCTCCATCTCAACTGCCTGACCGTGATTAGGACTAAACATTATGAAAATCAGTTTCTATTATAAATTAAAATATCGTATTTACCCGCGTATAGGCCGCACTTTTTTGACGAAAAACCACCTTGAAAGTTTGTAGTGCGGCTTATAAGCGGGTACAAGAGTTCAAAGCCCATTTATAAGCAAATTTGACACAATAATCAACAAACTTCCAAAGTTATTAACAGTTTTATTCAATAAAAGCCAACAGAAAACTTGTCATCTTTATTAGACAGTTCCCGATCAGTTGACAAGTTATCGCCGATTGCGGGTTTCCAGGTGTTTTCATACACATGATTTCCTCGTATTTCGCTTTCCACTTCATAGCTGCAAGTAGTTCCACCCTTTTTCTGGTTGCTTTTGGCCCGTGCCACTGCAGAATCCTTGAATCACAAACAACGCGAGCGATTTTCACGATAGCATTTGCTCTGTTCTCTTTGCAAAGAGAGGGGGGTTCATTTCTTACAATATATGTAATCAAGAAGAACAAATTAAGGAAAAGCTTTTAATTTTTTAAATTATTGACCCATTTCTTTAATTTATGGAATAAAAATCACTCTAACGTTGGCAAAATAACCGTTTCTTGTGCAGAAAAACTAAGATTGTAGAATAACTCGTACATGCAGACAAGTTAAGAGCCACTGACCATAAATATTTAGAATCTGCCGACAGTTGCAAAATTTCGTAATTCTTTTTTTTTTCCTAAAGGACCCTTTTAATGAACCTCTATCGAAAATTTATATCAAAAAGTTCTATTGCGCTTTTTTTTCCTCGATCCGAAAAATCGAAAACTTCAAAATACGCCCAGTCCCCCCCGTAAAGCAATGAAAAATTATGAAATAATTATTGACCTATATTTTACCTCTACGAAAAAGACGTAAAGTATTTTATTTCAACGTGTCACTATTCAGACTTAAACGTGACAACTTGCTGAGAAATTTATATTTTCAGAGGTACAAGGATCATCTGCTCGCACACAAAATTTAAAAGCACGATTACATTAAGTTGTGACGTACGAATAGGCCAAAGTTGCATAATTTTTCATTGCTTCACGGGGAGGGAGGGAAACGACCATCCTGGCGTATTTTGAACTTTTCGATCTTTCGGAGAAAGAAAAGCGCGATAGAACGTTTTGATAAAAATTTTCAACAAGGTTCATCAAAAGGGTCTTTTAGGAAAATTAAAATTAATTACGAAATTTTGCAACTGTCGGCGGATTCTATATATTTATGGCCAGTGGCTCTTAACATTCAAAATGGAATGGTTGACATAATATTAAAACCCCAGCTTCAATGTATTTTTTTGTCAAATACATTCCAATTTACCGAGTAGATAAAAGGTAAATTAATTAACTTACAGAGCCATAGCAGCGGCTGTAGTTTCAAACGATAAATCAAGAAAGAAATAAAGAAGGAAAAATTTCTGCTCAACTTAAGTATTTCAATAAAATGTTATGCACTTAGGTGAAGGGAGTTTCTACAAAGTAGAATAATAATAATAATAATTCATTATTAATGAAATCAGTGGTTTACTCAGAATTCTTTGGGCCAAAAAGTTCAACGGTTTATGGCAGACTCTAAATCAGAAACAGTAAAATCATGCCTATAGTACCCAGAAGGTTTTCTTTTTTACTGCAAACCAAGATGATCTTAAACCTACCTAATAGCAAATTTGAAGATATCAATTGGAATATAGGGTGACGTAAAAGTAAGCATGAACTAGTCCAGTTTTTGCTTCTAACACAACTATTCTTTGGCTAAGGTATCAAGGACAAGATATGGAGAAAAAGTCTTACCTATAGTTCGACGCTTCCAAAAATACCAGCATATGAGCAAAATAACAATGACAGCAGCCATTGAACCAACAATAAAATACCACACCAGGGATGGACTCCTTACCTTCCCAGCTGTTGGTATAAGTTAAACACATGGCCATTAGCCAAATAACAAAGCTTGCACATGTGATCATAATATTGGAAAGGTTTTCACCCAGTATTACCCATCATCCCTGAATTCTATCTTTTGCTAGAGTTTCTCCGGCTCATTAGAAATGGATACTATTTTATGGTAGAGATTTCAAGAAAGGGTAATCAAAACTAGGTTGTAGAGGGCATAACCAAATAACCATAAAGTGAAGTCTGTTTACAAGCAAAATGGCTCATTATCTCCGTTTTCCGTGGCATGAAGCCCCCAGGAGTATTTATACTACTCCCTGCTAGTCCATCACAGAGTTACCCCTCATAGAAGTAAAGAAATAACCTGCCTTTTTGTAAACTGGATGAAGAACAATTCCCATTTCCCAGTAGGAAACAAATAATCACGACGATATTGCAACGAGTTATACGGGTATCTTTAAGGAGGTTCTACTGCATTAGGCCAGAGACCTAAATATTCATTCAAGACTCCTGCTTAGCACAAAAAAAAACAGCAACAACAACAACAATGGAAAAAAAAAGCAGCCAATTGCATATTTAAAACAATGCAAAACTTTCAGGTTACATTTAAGTTGAAATACGAAATGTAGTTAAATAATTGATTGTTTCTAGGACACTACAATAATAACAGCTCACAGTTGACATTTATTGTCACAGTGGAGCGGGCTACATTTCCTAGTCTGTTACGAGCTTCACAGGAATATTCACCACTGTCCTTCTCTACAACCTTGGGAATACGCAGTTCACTTGTTTTCTCATCCAATTTCATATTAATGACTTTTATTGGGTCTCCATCTTTTTTCCAAGTGATAGTTACTGTTGCGTCATTGACAAGGCAGGTCGATTTGAGTTCATAACCTGGAGTGAGTATTGGATGTGGATTTGGCCTTATTTGAGAGGTGGGTTTTTCTGTGTTGAAAGAGACAAATTACTGTTAAGTCTGAAAAAACAGCTTTACTCACAACACTTAGTAACGTAATGATCATGGACATGAAAGAATCCAAAAGCATGCAACCCTCTGAACAGAAATTATAAGTCGGTGAAACCTGGCTTCAAAAGAGTATTTGTTTAAAGTTTATTTGGGGCCACCTGATCAAAATGATCAGAGTGACCAAAACAAAATGTCATGAAGGCATCACCCCAAACAGTTGGTGAATGTTGCATGTGCAAAAGATAACCTTTCCCCAAATCCATAATTGCACAGGACACCTAACAACCCAAACAAGTAGCTGCTCGAATTGGCCTTCTTGTCTTAGATGATTTCCAAATTATGATTGAGAATCAAATGCAAAAAGATTATTACAAAAACCAGCCCTAACAGGCTCTAAGTTATTTTTTGTTCCTACTTTAGACTTAAGTCTCCATTTCTGAGTAATATTTCATACATCAGCACAAGAGATAAACTCCAGAGAGGAAGGTATCAAAGATTATTAGAAACTGGATCATTGAATAATGTAATTCAAGACTTTTCATTGGCTTAGCCATTATGGTATATGAGCCCATATACTATAAACTGCGAAGGATCGTGCACATATACGTTTCATAACCGCAGTTCATACATATGTTTCATATGTTTGTTGTTGTTTGATTTATCATCTACGGGTTCATGTCGAATTAATTTGATGGCCTGCTCCCAGTTGGCTTGTTAGCTCAATTGGTAGAGCGCTGCACTAGTATCGCAGAGGTCAGTGGTTCGAGTCCCGTACAGGCCTGAAATTTTTTTCAGGTCTGATTTTCACTATTGCTGAAATAGTGCTTTACTGCGAAGGATCGTGCACATATACGATACTATAAACTATGATATGGTGAGCATACGCATGACCTTAGAATTGAAAGGGAGCTAAAAATTTAATAATTTAATGTAGCGTTTTTAATAAAACAATTATTCAACTTGCGTTTGTTGGTTATGATATGATTACAGCCAACTCGGCTCTAAGCGCCTTGTTAGCTATCTATCATCTCATATCCAACGCGCGCTTGTGGAATAATTGTTAATTATATGATTATTACAGTGCATCCATAATTATTATCATCATAATCATTGCTAATTCATGATTGTACAATCATTATCATTTTCAGTAAAGAACCTACCAGAAACTTGAAGTGTTGCTGAAGAACTTGTCGTATTTGCTTTGTTTTCTGCTATGCACTTGTATGTTCCTCCCATTTCCTTTGTTGTTGGTGGCAAATCCAGGAATGATTCCATGAACGAGTCTCCCTCAAACTTGGTTTGATAAATACCAAATGGAAGTTTACTGCCATCAAATGTCCAGGTCACTTTTGGTGTTGGATCACCAGAGGCACGGCAAGTAAAGTTGACAGGGTTTCCAACAGTAACAGATTGGTTTACTGGAGAGAATAAAATCCGAGGAGACACTGAAAATAAAAAAGAAGACCACTGATCTTCAATGAAGGTTATCAATTGAACAACTGGACAACCAGTCTGGGTCATTTTGCAGAAGTTAAATGTGAGACCAAATTTTATAATTCACTCTACTACATGTATTCAGTCTGGGGTAAGAGACATTACCTGCATGCTGTGCTTGAGAATGGATAGAGGATAAAACTTTTCTAATGTGTAAGTTAATTTCTCTAGCCCCCAAATGACATGATTTACAAGAATGTTGGTAATTTTTAGTTTTTAATTTCCTTTTCTTTGTAAAGCTTAAAACTTTCCATTGTGTGGCTTTTGCAGTTGAGAGGTATAAAACACTGATTACTGACTCTCCCTTGGACAGTTACATGTGTTGCAACATTAGTACACGAGAGTACGTCCTTGGCGATTCATTCCACCCCACTGTCGAGAGGGACTGGTACAACTGCACACTTTGTAATCCACTCCTACAAGTTACACTGCAGCTCTCCCTTGGTCCCCAGGATGACCAGCCACTATTAACTATCACTGTATCAGAGGTTTGTGATGATATCAATGCAAATCAAAGAGACAACAACTTTAATCGACTGAAGATGAGTGAAAAGTGTCCAAGGATGCTTGCACTCACCAGACACGCTGACTTAGATCATGTTGTCACATAATTACATAATCTTTTCACAGCATTTTCAGCGTGGCCATTTGATGTGGGTAATATGGGTTCGAGGTTCGATGTTCTACTCTACTGTGAATGCCTTAAATGCTGATGACAGCTTGAGGTTCCATTTCTGCAGAAATGCACGTTCATTCTTTTCAAGGCTGGCCTTGACCTCCAAATCAGTCACACCACAACCAGTGATGAGGAAATTGTCTGCAATGACTTCAGCACCCCTGAGGCCTTCAATGAAGCGTGCATTTGTTGTTGCCAAAGTTTCAGAGTGGTGGATATGCCAAAACTGAGGCATACGAGTCCACCGACAATGTCTAAAGGGTGAGTTGAACGTTGTTAAGTAGTTTGAGGCGTCATCCATTGAGATCTGATGGAAGTCATCCTAAGCATCCCAGAGTGCAAATTTCTTGGTGCCTTCTAATCAGGACCCGACTTCATCAATGGCTGACAGCTGGTAATGTTCTCGGTGAGTGGCATGGTTGAGGTCTCTTAGATCAATACAAATCTGTACCTTATATGCTGGCCATTGGTTTCACAATGGCCAGCATGCTGGATACCCACTGTGTAGGTTGTTACAGGCATGAGCACTTTGCACTCAACCAACTGGTCAAGTTTTTCCTTTATGGGCTGTTGCATGGCCAGTGGTACCCATCTCAGGGCATGTATTGAGGGTGGAATGTTTTCATTGACGATGATGTGGTACTTTTCTGGCAGTGCGCCTGATCCCTCAAAACAACTGGAAAATCCTCAGGTGGAGCAGAGGAGGGAGAATCAACCTTTAACACCAGGACATCGCAGTTATGCAGGCTGACCAGGCCAAGACCAATGCTTGTATTCAATGACAAAACAGGCAGATAGTCAACATCTATGATATTGAAGTCAAGGGATTTTCGTACTCCTCTAGACTGGGTGGGAAGGGTTACTTTCCCAGCAATTTGATGATGTTCTCCTGTGTATGACAAGGTCTCCTTTGTACAGGGTTAAAGGTGATGAAGCAGTGTGTCTCCTGTAACATGCTTGTATAATTAACTGGGCAGGGAGTATGTCACACTGAGACCTGGTATCTGTCTGAAACTGAACTTCTTTCTCTGGTGTTGGCACAGAGATATACAGTTTGAAGATGGCTATTTGTGGCTGGGGTTTGTTTCCTGTGATCAGATTGATGTAGCACTAGTCTTGCTCAGGGTCAGCGGTTTCATGAATAGTTGAGACTGTTCCTCCTTACTCATGAAGAAGCTCAGTATTTATGCACAAAATGATTCATTCTTCCACACTTAAAACAGGTTTTTTTCCATGTGCTGCGCACTCACGCCCATGGGGCATGCATTCCACAATTGAGGGAGGCATTGGATCCTATTGGAAACCGCAGGATGGACCAACACTCAGGGTATTAAAATAATTGAGAAGAATTTGCTACCTTTCTACAACATCAAGAAATGGTTAGATATTCTAGTCTTCTCGGATAGGGACGAATAAATGGAGGTCCTGTCTCCTGTGGGGTTAGGGGCAGGAGACGTTAATTTCCCACGCGTGAGATTACTGTGTGATGGATCTCCTCCCCTGGGGTGGGATGGGTGGGTTTACTGGGGGTGAATTGGGGGGAGGGGTGGTGCCTCGCATGGACCTTGTGCTCCGTCCGCACTAACCCTTCCGGGTCTAGTCACACCCAGTGAAGTCGTTAACAAACAAACAAGCAAAACGTAGAAAAAAATCACCCAAAACCAAAATAAAAATCGATCAAAACCGAAAACCGCATCCAAAACTGTCAAAACCGATACATTTTCACATCCTAGTTATTAAAACCCTGATCGATCCGACACAGTGGTGACAAGTGGAGCTTACAGAGTACACTACACTTATTTTATTACAGTATTTGTGAATCACGGACTTGGCACTTGTATCTTTTAGTATCTGCATAAATTATACGCTTTATTCCAGCTGCTCTCTCGAGGTCTAATAATAGTGAATCACCTTGAAACGCTCTTTTTTTTCTTTTTCGTTGCCTCCCCGCCATGGAACAGACGCTCATAGTAATTAATTAGTCATGATCTTCCTCACCGATCGTGATTTTCAATTTATCATAGGTGTAGATATCGCGCATTCTAAGTGTATAACGACTGTAAATCTTCTTTAACTCTGTATCGTCCTAAACGAGCCATATATTATAAATACAGCAGGGGCTTAGCGTCAGATTTCGAAGGTGTATGCACAGTGCAGAAATTTTGAAATTTAGGGTATCAGAAATGCCATAATTTTCGAACTCTTTCCGTGGAACTCTTTTTATAAGTAAATGCAACGGAAAATGCAGTCGGTCGTTTATTTTACCCATCTCTCGAGTTTTAAAGCTAAAAGGGTTGTTGGCTTCCTTAATGTCTGGAGAGGTAACAAGTCCAGGAAGCCAAATAACGTTTCTTGTCGTTTAAGGATTAATGAAAAGGCAGTGGAAAAACAAACACACACGCCAGTATAATTCGAAATTTAAAATTCGGTCCTATTTTATAGTAACTGTGACAAATGTTGTAAGGGAATAACGAAAATTTTTTTTCCAGATTTCAGCTGTACGTAAGGGCGTACATGCGTACATGGACCCTTCTCCCCTGCATAGGATGTAGCGATTAAACTATTGTAATGTAAAGGATGGCATTGGTACCATTGACTTACCAAACACTGTTTTTATGCTTGTGCAAGCTTCTCTCTTCCTCTTTTACTTTGCACGTAAACTTGATTTTCTTTCTGAAATTCTCGCCGCCTTTTGGCACGTTGGAAGACATGGTTCGCAATCTGATCGACCTTGACCTAAATGCTCCACATTGCAAGGTCAACGTCATTCAAGACGCGTGAACCCCCCAGGGATCCCTGTAATATTCCAATTGGTTTGTCACTCATTCCTCTCAATAACATTTGCGTTTTGCGGCTATTCTAGAACAGTAGAGGCGCGTGATTGCTGCTCAGATGGAAGAGAAACTGAAACCTAAATAGGTCAAATAGGAAAAACAGAAAACCGCATCGGATATCAAATTCCATAAGTTAAGTTATTGTTGGTTTCACGGTTAGGGGGTCGGTGCGAGATAACCTGGAGAGAAAGCTTTAGAGCTAGGACGATACTTAAGAATTAACTCAACCCACATGAATCGGGTCAATTGAACCCAGGTGACAGTGGGGGAAGGCGTACTATTCCCACTCCCCTTATCTATTTCTATAGTATGACATTTACCACAGTTTGGATCTGAAAAGATCAGGTTATATCCTTTCTTCCTGACAGAGCCATCGGAATGGAAGGTTATCACTGCATAACGTCCAGTCACAGATACACTTCGTCCAGTCTCGGTGCCACAGTATTTCCCAAATAGGACGTTCCTTTCATTAGTAATCCTCAAATAGTCATATCTTTTGGAAAAAAAAATTACTCTGTGTTCATTAAATAAATATTATAAAGTAAGACTGCAGTGGAACGTAACAAAACTATTGACATAACTGATAAAAACATTAAGACTTCCTACCCTCTGACTCAGAGGAATAGGATCCAGTCAGTCTACTTACTGGAGTGGCCTCGGGGAGGAGGGGTGAGAAATGGGAACTTTATCTCTTTTACCGGAAAATCAGATTTTAGTTGCCACGCGATAGAAATCTCGGGTCCATAATCTACTGATTAAAGATAAAATTGCAGTGTGACTTGGTACTGGATTTGGACAAAAAATTGACCAGCAAATATATTTTGTGAGGTAGTAATTTCCCTATCCCATCAGGACCCTCATAAACCATACTCTACACTAACAGCCTGCACCGACGGTGCAGCACATTTCCCCTTCTTTCTAATCCCCACAAGCTACAGCCCTTACCCTTCCTTCCCACCCCTCTAAGTATCACTTGTCTTGTTCATATGGAAGAACTGATGCATTATGCTACTTTAGCAACATGTTTGCTTCACACCTCACTTACCTGCAACTAGACTGTGACTCGACTTCAAAGTCCCTGAAGTAAATTGTGAGCGTCCAGCCAAGGGAGATGTTAACCCAATAAGTACAGTCCATCCCATCGGGATAAAAGTTAGGATATTCGGGACTTGTCAGCTGGTTATTTTGCACATATCCACAACCAACTTCACAAAAAAAAAAATTAGATTTAAAAAAAAATAGTGACACAGTTGACTTTTACAACGTTCACGAAACTAATTTAATTCACACTCAGTTGAAATCAGCTTCATTGTGTAGTCGTGTCGGTTCCGATGTAAATTGACTCAACGGATTGTGTTTTGCTAAAATCAATGTTGCTTTTTATATAGCATAGCTCACTAGGCTTTCCTAGTTTGAGCACTCTGGCATGGCTTAGACGATACAACAAATGTGGGATCGTTCGGGGTAACCATATCGGTTCGTCCCCATAGCATCAGCACAGCACTGATGAGGCCCAGAAGGCCGAAAAAGTACTATCTGCAGTTAGTTTTTCATATATATATATTTTAGAAATTTCAACTTAAACTAATGTACAAGTCAGTGCTACTTACATGGAGGGTTTGTTGATACGCGTTATGAATTTGTATATTTAACAATTATTCCACGAGCACGCGTTGGATATGAGATGATAGATAGCCAACGAGGCACGTAGCGCTGAGTTGGCTGTAATGATCTCATATCCAACAAGCGCAAGCGGAATGACTGTTTTATTAAAAACGTTAAATTAAATTGTTAAATTGTAAACTGGATGAAGAACAATTCCCATTTCCCAGTAGGAAACAAATAATCACGACGATATTGCAACGAGTTATACGGATATCTTTAAGGAGGTTCTACTGCATTAGGCCAGAGACCTAAATATTCATTCAAGACTCCTGCTTAGCACAAAAAAAAACAGCAACAACAACAACAATGGAAAAAAAAAGCAGCCAATTGCATATTTAAAACAATGCAAAACTTTCAGGTTACATTTAAGTTGAAATACGAAATGTAGTTAAATAATTGATTGTTTCTAGGACACTACAATAATAACAGCTCACAGTTGACATTTATTGTCACAGTGGAGCGGGCTACATTTCCTAGTCTGTTACGAGCTTCACAGGAATATTCACCACTGTCCTTCTCTACAACCTTGGGAATACGCAGTTCACTTGTTTTCTCATCCAATTTCATATTAATGACTTTTATTGGGTCTCCATCTTTTTTCCAAGTGATAGTTACTGTTGCGTCATTGACAAGGCAGGTCGATTTGAGTTCAT